CCTCGTTTTTCACCAACAGTCACACACTTCGTGCTCTTCGAGTTCCCAGAACTCCATTCCCAGGCTCATTCTGAATAACCGGATGCAACAGTCACACACTTCGTGCTCTTCGAGATCCCAGAACGCCATTCCCGGGCCACATTCCGGATGCAACAGTCACACACTTCGTGCTCTTCGCCCAGAACGCCATGTAGTGCACAGTCACACACTTCGTGCTCTTCGAGTTCCCAGAACTCCATTCCCGGGCCACATTTTGGATGCCCGGAGCCAACTGTAGGCCACTTCGTGCTCTTCGAGTTCCCAGAACTCCATTCCCGGGCCACATTTTGAATGCCCGGAGCCAACTGTAGGCCACTTCGTGCTCTTCGAGTTCCCAGAACTCCATTCCCGGGCCACATTTTGAATGCCCGTAGCCAACTGTAGGCAACTTCGTGCTCTTCGACTTCCCAGAACTCCCATTCCTGGGCCACATTTTCAGCAGGGGCAAGAGCACGACGAGGAGGAGGACGAGCAAGACCAGGAGGACGAGGACGAGCAGGAGCAGGACGAGGAGCAGGAGGAGCAGGAGAAGAAGGACGAGCAGGAGGAGGAGGAGGACGAGCAGGAGGAGGGACGACCAGGAGGAGGAGGACGACCAGAGAAGGAGGAGAGCAGGAGGGAGGTGGAGGGGGGAGGAGTACCCGAGGAGAGGAGTGGAGATGAGGAGGAGGAGGAGGAGAGGAAGAGGATAGGAGAGGAGGATGAGACGAGGAGGAGGAGGAGGAGGAGGGAGGAGGAGAGTACCAGTAGGAGGTAGGAGAGAACGAGGACCATCAGGAGGAGGAGGAGGAGAGAGAGGGAGGAGGAGGAGGAGGAGGAGGAGGAGGAGGAGGAGGAGAGAACACCAGGAGGAGGAGGACGAGCAAGACGAGGAGGACGAGAACGAGGACGACCAGGACGAGGAGGAGGAGGAGGAGGAGGGGAGGGGGAGGACTACCAGGAGGAGGAGGAGGAGGAGGAGGAGGAGGAGGAGGAGGAGGAGGAGGAGGAGGAAGAGGAGGAGGAGGACGAGGAGGAGGAGGAGGAGGGGGGGGGAGAGCACCAGGAGGAGGAGAACGAGGACCACCAGGAGGAGGAGGAGGAGGAGGAGGAGGAGGAGGAGGAGGAGGAGGAGGAGGAGGAGGAGGAGAGAGCACCAGGAGGAGGAGGACGAGCAAGACGAGGAGGACGAGAACCAGGACGAGCAGGAGGAAGAGGAGGAGGAGGAGGCTGAGGCTGAGGCAGGCTTAGGCTGAGGCTGTGACTGCGACTGCCGTTGCCGCTGCGACTGTCATCGCGAATGCGACTACGACTGCGAGAACAGCCGAATTCGACAACTGGATTTTCATCTGAGTCTTAAGGGGAATGCTTTCAGATATGCTTCTACACATCGCTGTTAGGTTGCTTTGCCGGGATAATTTTCATCACGTCGATCCCCAGAGGTCTCGAACCATTCACCATTCCCCGTGACCGGTGTTTCATCCTGAGTCGTTTTTGAACGTTCCCGAGGCTGCAAATCCTTCCGCCGTGATTTTTGTCTGACTCCAAGGGGTCTGGGAATGTTAGAGGTGTCTAGGCTTCCGCCTCTGAGCATGGCCCTGCAGTTCTCACAAGGGTTTTTTACCTAACAGCGAAGACTGGTAGGTTTCTAGTGGGCTAAAAACAGCTCACAGATCACTCCACAGGGGGGTCCGGGCAGGTGTTGGGAGTTGCCGGGCGGGTTGAGTCCACCTCGTTTTTCACCAACAGTCACACACTTCGTGCTCTTCGAGTTCCCAGAACTCCATTCCCAGGCTCATTCTGAATTACCGGATGCAACAGTCACACACTTCGTGCTCTTCGAGTTCCCAGAATTCCATTTCCCGGGCCCGGAGCCAACTGCCACTTCGTGCTCTTCGACTTCCCAGAACTCCGGGCCACATTTTCATGCCCGAGCCAACTGTAGGCCACTTCGTGGTCTTCGAGTTCCCAGAACTCCATTCCCGGGCCACATTTTGAATGCCCGGAGCCAACTGTAGGCCACTTCGTGCTCTTCGAGTCCCAGAACTCCATTCCCGGGCCACATTTTGAATGCCCGTAGCCAACTGTAGGCCACTTCGTGCTCTTCGAGTTCCCAGAACTCCATTCCCGGGCTACATTTTGAATGCCCGTAGCTAACTGTAGGCAACTTCGTGCTCTTCGACTTCCCAGAACTCCCATTCCTGGGCCACATTTTCAGCAGGGGCAAGAGCACGACGAGGAGGAGGACGAGCAAGACCAGGAGGACGAGGACGAGCAGGAGCAGGACGAGGAGCAGGAGGAGCAGGAGAAGAAGGACGAGCAGGAGGAGGAGGAGGACGAGCAGGAGGAGGAGGACGACCAGGAGGAGGAGGACGACCAGGAAGAGGAGGAGGAGGAGGAGGAGGAGGAGGGGAGGGGAGAGTACCAGGAGGAGGAGAACACGGACCAGGAGGAGGAGGGAGGAGGAGGAGGAGGAGGAGGAGGAGGAGGAGAGAGAAGGCGGAGAAAAGGAGGAGGAGGAGCCAACCCAGGAGGAGGAGGACGAGCAAGACAGGAGGACGAGAACGAGGACG